CAACTTACCAGAAACACTTTCTACTTTTAATTTTGTGTCTTAAAATAAATAATATATTGTTTTATGTTCGAATAAAATATTCTACCAAACGCTCAATTGTTCTTATACAGAGTTGATTATACAGGATATATATATATATATATATATATATATATATATATATATATATATATATATATATATATATATGATTACAATAGGGAGACATTAAAATGTTATTCTAATTTCAACGACCAAACATAGCGATTTTTATTCATTGTACCTTTTTAGCAACATCTTTATTTTTGTCTTCGCAAAATTATAATTTACATTATTATAGTTATATAAACGAGTAATATACACAGATTTGAATTAATTTGCATCAGTATTTCTCAAGTTATGGGTTAAAATCCATTTGTTTGTTTTTTGAAACAATAATTATGATGTATATTTCACCCATAACCCCTTGCTGGAAAATCAGAAATATATTAGAAACATATCATAACGAATTGTATTTCATATTAATACTAATAATAAATAAATAAATTTCAAAATTTCATTGTATTAAAATTAAAGACAAAACATAATGTTAACGATACTTGTTTTTTATTTTTTTTTTAATTATGACTGAAAGCAGCTGAATAAAATTACAAAATATGAGCATGTTCAACAACTAATGTATGAACAATAACTTTAATAAATATGATTTTACTTAGTAAAAATACTGTATATCTCCTACATAAAAACGAAAGAATTTCACAATGTTTAAAACGGAAAGTCTTTATCGCAGTTTTCAAGTTAAATCAATGAGTACAATGTATATTAATCAAAGAGATCATTATTCGCTGCTGAAAAACGGATACAACCGACCAGTTGATATTAGAAGTATTATTTCGGAGTTACAAATGCTTGACCAACTTCTCCGTGTTGAATTTCTTCAGCGATGGATGCGTGCCATAGGCATAGTGCTTAGACATGTCGGGGGAGTAGCGACTTGCAGGAGGTTGACGACCAAGACTCTCTGCCAGAGATCGAGTGAGAGAAGATGAATTGCCGCAACAAATTCCTACATATTGTAAACCAAGATCTTTACATTGATGTCCAAACTCAATCATGTCGTCTTGGCAACACTGTGTGCAATCTAAATTGATTGGAAACACTCGTTTTCCTGTAATGAAGCAAAATTTGTCAAAATTGTGTTCCAAAAAATGCTTGTCATAAATCTGCTTTCCTTCAAGTACTGTAATAGTGTACACATCCACACTAGTGTGTACGCTACCCGACAGGAGAGTTCCCATGGCGATTGATCAGTGTCTGAATCGGCGCTTTATACAAACAAGACTTGCACTATTACCTGTCTGTGGATCAGTCAGCGACTGAAAACTCGGCTCTTTGTCGGTGGTTCTGTAAGCAACCGGTAGAGCTGCTACTGGAATCTGAAATTTGAATTCAAAGAATATTGGGAAAAAGCATGACGACTTGAACGTTCTCTCATTCAATTACCCGTAATGCAATGCAAATCACGCGAGATGTGTCATTTCGCAGACAGGCAATGAGAATAACAACATAGCATAGCCGGCTTTCTTTAACCGGCAATTATGTTGAATTAAAAGTGCAAGCTAAATCTGATGAGTTACTACAGTCATGTTGTACATTTCAGATGGAAAGTGGTTTATAATGTGATAATCCAACCTAATACACTGTGACTTATGTTCACAATCATGCAAACGCTGCCCCCACAACTTGCCGTGCATTTGTTTTTGATACACTGTGCGACAGGTATCATCGTCTTTGGTCCCCTTGTGCAGTTGACACCAACTACTGCAGCACCAGAATCTTGCAGTTGCTTACATGCGTCAGACATCGAAACATTGTCGTTGGTGGCGCACTCGCCTTCTATTTCATACAAGTGCGTAGCTAGTGTAATAACTGCGGGTAATCCTGCGAATAGAATAGAATATATTATAACATTGCTTATACTTTAGAATCGATTGACTAACATTATTATATATTTACTACAGAGTTTTAGCATTAGCATTTCCCCAATAATCACGCATTGAATATATGGGCATATTATACACACTGGACAAAGTGATAAATGCGGTAATGTAAATGTCTCCTGTTTGTCCAAGAGGACAGCGTCACGTGTCACGTTTTCAGAGTTACGTTTCACGTAGTATCATTGTATTTGTCTAAATCCCATACCTTTTCCATGTTCCTTAATGGACTGTAACGCTAGCATTGCTTCGCCCAATGATCCAAATGTTTCTCCAACGATGTAATCAGCTCCGCCCTCAACGGCCCATTCAATTTGTTCCTTTGTTTGGATACAACGAAAATATCAAAGGTATGTGTTTAATTCGTTGATGTACTCAAAATGAGGCTTCGGCATTCATTTAATCACGTGATTGTCTTAAACACATACATCATGTTTATCTAGACATGACTAGTCAGTGTTGTTTACCAAGCGTCAACTAACAAAACAGTCGTTTCATTGGTTGCGGTGTATGGTGAAAACAACGAACATATACCGACGAGGTGATACATATCCACTATGATTGTGTGCTAGCTAAATGTTGTATTTAAATGTAAAACAAATGAAATTACGTACTTTGAACATTGACTGAACTGTTGATATTGAGTCAGGGTCATCTTTAAGATACAAATTAGTATTACAAATATTTCCCGCCATTAGCGTTCCCGTTTCATCGGCGACCTCGCGTGCCATGCGCAGAGCAGTTTTGTTGAGTTTCTCCAGGTCATCTTCTCGACCAATCAGACGCAGTTTCTCGCGATGAGCGTAATACTGTATGAAATGATCGGAAAAAAGTTCAGTAGTGTAAATCCTAGAAAACTGTAGGAAAATTACCCCGTGTAAAAATAAACTTTGAAACAATGTTGTATTTTTGATGACTTTTGAGGATATTTTGAGACCATTTCTGAACATGTTCAATTAATTTTACTAGTATTGGTTTCATACATTAATTTAACAGTGGAATAGGATATGTCTTTCTTCATTAGTTATAATACATTATCAAACACGTAATGTGTGGTTCCTTCCTCCCAATATTCGACCATCACCAACTATATTTTGTGTACTTGGCATTTTCTTATCCGGTGTTTCACAGTTGACTGAGAGCGAGTGATCAAATAAAAAGCACGGCAGTTTGCGGAGGTTGAAAATTACTCAGGGTCACCAGTAAATATGACACGAAACTTTTTTATTTCTGTTACTTCAACATGTGGATACGACACTTGGTGGCGTAACACATAGTTACATTCACAAGAACAACTTTTGACAAGTGCGTCATTACCACATTGTATTGTGGGTTGTATGTGTACGAGTGATGACGGATTTAAGGGGCGCGCCCCCTACGCCTAACTCTAACCCACTATGTCTGTCTATTGTCAAATATAGGTCCTGCTCATTAAAAGTTTCCGACCTTTGTGTGCATACAGAATATTTCATTGGATAGAATCGCCAACTTCCCTAGTGGCGCATCAGCGCAATTCCAACGCCAGTCTCCTAGACGTTTGCCTCAACGTGATATACCGTGTTGCCATGTCGATCGAGACCAATGTTTATCGTCCTCATCAGTCATAGCAATTATAATTGCGCGTCAAAAATAACGATATGTTTTGCTTTGAAAGAAATACGGGTACGGTTTCTGGTTTAGAAATTTTAGAAAATTAATCAAATTGAAGTTATTAGCATCAGTAACGACGCAATCTGACGCAATCGTGCATATTTTGCTACTACAAATTAATGTCTTCAATCAGAAGAGGATTTTGGGTGACAGTCTTACTGTTACCCGATTAAAGGTCACGGATCGTCTGACAATGGTGTCATAAAATCAATCGCGTGATTTGAGGCAAACCCAGGGGGTACTCACATTGAAGTGCTATATGTATATGTGTCGCCAAAAGGGGTCCCAAATTCACCACTTCTGTCTGAACAGGGGTATGTTATTTTACCCTTCTGTCTGAAAAACGGTATCCTTTTTTCATTATTTCTGCCTGAAAAGGGGTCCATATTTTGCAAAGACTGTCTCTAGAGTGATCCAACAATCAGGAGAATTCAAGTCCACCTGCTTTTCCCTTGGTACCATTTATGCATACTGCCTGGAAAGTGGTATCAAATATCCACAGTTTGTCTGAAGAGGGATAGGCAATTTGAGTTTTTTCTTCTGTCTGATAAAGGGTAGGGGTTTCAAACAACCAGCTATACACCCCTGACAGTGTTTCTTACAAGTACCCCGCCCCCGCCGGAAGGCAAACGTACTTCATTAAACTAAACGCTCTGAAAAGTAACAATACTCATCAATGCGTACCGTGAACGCCAGTACCACGTCACTTCCAGCATGCACGAATTCGCGATACAGATTTTTGACCAAATCCGGATGCTCGAGAACCACTTCTGGAACATAGGCCCCGGCTTTCAGATAACCTCGGCGCTGTAGTTCAAACAGATAACCTTCTGCCACTATGACAGTTTCCCCGTCCTCCAGTCGCTCGACAAGTCCTAAAACGACATAATGGAGTAAAACAAACATGTATAGATTTCTCAGTTAATGCATCGATGCTCTTTGTATACATAACAACATCAAAGGTATTAATTGCAGACTACCGGGGAATAATTATCAACACTGTGTATAAGAGATGATTGAGCGAGTACCTTTGATGCTTCCACTGGTAGGCATTACTGTGCTTTTTAACAGCTCTTTAGAGCGTATACCTAGCACCAACACAGCTCTTCAATAATCCACGCAAATATGATAAAGGCAGTTCGTCAGACAGAGATCATTTACCAGATAAGAAAGGTTAAACTGTGTTGCTCGTTAATCATAACACTGATTATAAGTGTGATACCAAAGTTCAGGGGTCAAGTGTCTGTCAGAAAGGGCAACAGCACCTGGTAAAACATGTAGTCTTAGTCTTTAAAGCCTGTAGCATATCATCCATTCATTTGTCAAATTATGTTCCCCATCGGGCCCAAACTGCTATGACAGAACAACGACGACCACTACTGATTTTCATTATTTAAGAGCGCAACATTCATAAATGGATACACCTTTCACAATATTTGTATTCCCATTTCCAAATTTAATTTTTGTATTTTGATATTAGGAGACTGTTTGACAATTTAACTAAAGTAACAATATAAAAGAAGGTAAATATGAAGAGAGAATTACGAATGGTACAGGAGCATATCTGAGATACAGGTGCATATCTAAGAGACAGGTGCATATCTGAGATACAGGTGCATATCTGAGACAGGTGCATAGCTGAGATACAGGTGTATATCTGAGATACACGGGCATATCTGAAATACAGGTGCATATCTGAGATACAGGTGCATATCTGGGATGCAGAAGCATATCTGAGATACAGGTGCATATGTGAGATACGGATGCATATCTGAGAAACAAGAGCATATCTGAGATACAGGAGCATATCTGAGACACAGGTGCATATCTGAGATACAGGTGCATATCTGAGATACAAGAGCATACCTGAGATACAGAAGCATATCTGAGATACAGGAGCATATCTGAGACACAGGTGCATATCTTAGATACAGAAGCATATCTGAGATACAGAAGCTTATCTGAGTTACAGGAGCATATCTATGATACAGAAGCATATCTGAGATACAAGAGCATATCTGAGATACAGGAGCATATCTGAGATACAGGAGCATATCTGAGATACAGGGGCATATCTGAGATACAGGAGCATATCTGAGATACAGGAGCATATGTGAGATACGGATGCATATCTGAGAAACAAGAGCATATCTGAGATACAGGAGCATATCTGAGACACGGGTGCATATCTGAGATACAGGTGCATATCTGAGATACAGAGGCATATCTGAGATACAGAATTTTATCTGAGATACAGAGGCATATCTGAGATACAGGAGCATATCTGAGATACAGGAGCTTATCTGAGATACAGGAGCATATCTGAGATACAGGAGCTTATCTGAGATACAGGAGCATATCTGAGATACAGGAGCATATCTGGGATACAGGTGCATATCTGTGATACAGAAGAATATCTGGGATACAGGAGCTAATCTGAGATACAGGAGCATATCTGAGATACAGGAGCTAATCTGAGATACAGGAGCATATCTGAGATACAGGAGCATATCTGGGATACAGGAGCATATCTGAGATACAGGAGCATATCTGAGATACAGGAGCGTATCTGGGATACAGGTGCATATCTGAGATATAGATGCATATCTGAGAACGTGAGCATATCTGAGATCCAGGTGCATATCTGAGATACAGGTGCATATCTGTGATACAGAGGCATATCTGAGATACAGAAGAATATCTGGGATACAGGAGCTAATCTGAGATACAGGAGCATATCTGAGATACAGGAGCTAATCTGAGATACAGGAGCATATCTGAGATACAGGAGCTTATCTGAGTTACAAGTGCATATCTGAGATACAGAAGCATATCTGAGATACAGGAGCATATCTGAGATACGAGAGCATATCTGAGATACAGGAGCATATCTGGGATACAGGAGCATATCTGAGATACAGGAGCATATCTGAGATACAGGAGCGTATCTGGGATACAGGTGCATATCTGAGATATAGATGCATATCTGAGAACGTGAGCATATCTGAGATACAGGAGATTATCTGAGATACAGGAGCAAATCTGTGATACAGAAGCATATCTGAGATACAGGAGCATATCTGAGATACAGGAGCATATCTGGGATACAGGAGCATATCTGAGATACAGGAGCGTATCTGGGATACAGGTGCATATCTGAGATATAGATGCATATCTGAGAACGTGAGCATATCTGAGATCCAGGTGCATATCTGAGATACAGGTGCATATCTGTGATACAGAGGCATATCTGAGATACAGGAGCATATCTGAGATACAGGAGCATATCTGTGATACAGAAGCATATCTGAAATACAGGAGCCTATCTGAGATACAGGTGCATATCTGAAATACAGGTGTATATCTGAGATACACGGGCATATCTGAGATACAGGTGCATATCTGAGATACAGGTGCATATCTGGGATGCAGAAGCATATCTGAGATACAGGTGCATATGTGAGATACGGATGCATATCTGAGAAACAAGAGCATATCTGAGATACAGGAGCATATCTGAGATACAGGTGCATATCTGAGATACAGGTGCATATCTGAGATACAGGTGCATATCTGAGATACAGGTGTATATCTGAGATACACGGGCATATCTGAGATACAGGTGCATATCTGAGATACAGGTGCATATCTGAGATACAGGAGCATATCTGAGATACAGGTGCATATCTGAGATACAGGAGCATATCTGAGATACATGAGCATATCTGAGATACAGAAGCATATCTGAGATACAGGAGCATATCTGAGATACAGGTGCATATGTGGGATACGGATGCATATCTGAGAAACAAGAGCATATCTGAGATACAGGAGCATATCTGAGACATGGGTGCATATCTGAGATACAGGTGCATATCTGAGATACATGAGCATATCTGGGATACAGGTGCGTATCTGAGATATAGATGCATATCTGAGAACATGAGCATATCTGAGATACAGGTGCATATCTGAGATACAGAAGCATATCTGAGATTCAGGTGCAAACGGATTAATGTAGACACATGCACAGATGTGAAATTATAAGTCTCCATTTTCAGCCTATGCTCAATTGGGAAAAAAAATTGTTAGTTAAAGATCTATAAGAAAGGGTTATGGACAGATGAATATAAAACCAAAATGGCTGAATCACAAAACCAACTGATGTATCAGTCGCCATCATGTTCGATGTTCAGACCAAGATTCACAAAAAGTGACCTAACGGCCGAAATATCTTTGCTGTTTTTGTACAGTGTTCTTATCAAAATAAAGTTGATAACTGTTCTGTATGATGAGATATTAAATATTTATCTTGGTTATCAGTTACTGCCATGGTAGTTTATTTGGTTGTTGCCATGGCAATTACAATTGTTATCTTATTACAAATCTCATAGAGGTCAACCTATAGACCCTACATAACTAAGTACCAAAGCTGTTAAGCTGGTAGGTTTTTAGGAAGAAGTCAATAAAAAGCATTTTTTTACTAAATGGTATCTTGTACATACAAAGAATCAAAGGAATTGAGTTGGTAGATCAAAAATAACAAAAATATTCGCAAAAAAATTAGAATTAAAACTATTACACTGTCGAAAATTTTTTTAATCTACTTTGACTTGATATTTTGTTTGCATATATAATCATTGTTATAATGATAATTTTTAATTTTTTAATTGTTAATATTCATGCTTTTATTTATTTTATTCTTGCAATGTATTTTATATTGATTTGTATTTCTCTTTAAACATGATAAATATAATTTCACAATTACATGGCACAACATTTCCTTATTTAATAAAGACTTTGCTAAATATGGCACAACTTACATTTTTATACACACAATGAAATTTAGAAAACAGAATAGAAATTTAATTGAATGCCTGAGAAAATATTATTTTAATAATATTTATATAAGTCACTGTGTATATAGGTATTCAACTTAAGTAATCCTGGAGACAATTCAAATGCTTTAATTCTGTCCTTAATTTTGCATTACATGAGCCAACGTCTGCATACAAGATTCCAAAACAATGCCAAGAAAATGAAAATTCATTTCAATTTATAATAAATTATTTATTTGAGAGTATGATCATAATTTGTGTCCAATGTATGTAAAAAAATGCATGATAATTAAACGGTCAAATGATTGCGCTTTAAATAAATGAAATATTTAGATTTCGTAGAAGATCCTTCCAAACTATTATCGGTTGTGTATTCTCAGGCTTACCATAGTAACTTTTATCTGAATGTGAGTCAATGAACATTTGAATGCCATGCTGCTGTAATAAAGGCTGTTTGACCATGGTGAAAGAGATCAAGTGAAATAATAATTGTTGCCATGTGTATGGTTCTATCAAATTTGTTCTTAGAAGCAGATAACAATTGATTAAAGAGTGGCGGTAGTTGTACAGTATTTGTAACGAATTTGAATTTGACACAATATAATGACCTCTATTTACCCTTTAGGGATCCTCAAACTATTGGATGTATGAAGCATAATTTCTTTCTTTCATAATCCTAAATCCAAATTTCCATCTCCACTGAATAATATATAGTGTTTTAGTGATTAATAAATGTTTAAGAAAAGCAAATAAAAATATAATTTCTAGACAATTATTAGACAAATCAACTTCTCCAAAATGAACTCCCATTTACACTGAAAAGCCACCAACAGCAATGTAAAATGGTTCAGAACTGGACATACACAGAATATAAACATTTAACTCATTAAACCTATCTTTATAACATTATAACAGTGTGATGGATTAAGTAATTCATCACATGGGACCCACATCATACATATTTCATTACAATATTTATGGTACAAATGTTTACAAATTACAATTGAAAACAACTTAAAATACCAATCACAAGACTTAGAGGGAGAATATCGTCTCTACTGTGGTCATGTAACCTTTAACCCCTCATTTGACCCTGACTTGCTTTCGCAATTTAATGTTCGGTGCCAAATGATTATGGTTCTGCTTGTACTTGCATTCTTTTAAATTTGATTCAGCGAAAAAATAACTAATTTCAAGCGTTTTAAACAAATTTGATGGGGTATTGCGTTAAGTTTATCCGCCAATGATTGGAAACTCTGCAAAGAT